ATATATAAATATATATGATATATATAAATATGTATATAAAGTTATATATACAATATATAAATATAGATACATAAGGTTTTATATATATAAAGAAATGTTCTAACAATGGGGCCTCAAAAGAAAAAAAAGAACCTACTGGTCAGTGGTTTTCTATCATTCCTACATCTATCATTCTGCCAATTAAAAGATATTTTATTATACATATAAATATTATTTATCCCCTTAACACTTAGTTGCTTATTTCTCTCAAAAGCAAAATAAATTGATGAAAAATATTGCAAGAGATAACAGAACAGTTGTTACATTAAAATAATTATTTAACTTAATCTTTCTCCTAAATTATAGCTTAATTGTATCAAAAATTAAAGTATTTTGAGCCATAATTTAAGGAATATCAGATAGAAAACGCTCAGACAGGAAGCCTGAGATGAAAGCTTTATGACCCTGTCCCCTGTCTCTACGAAAAAAAACAAAAAATTAAAAAAAAAGGAAATTAGCTGGGCATGGTGGGGTGCCTAGCCATAGCCACTCTGGAGGCAGGAGGATCACTTGAGACCAAGGAGCTTGAGGTTGCAGTGAGCTATGATCACACCACAGTACTTCAGTTTGAGCAACAGAGTAAGACCCTATCTCAAAAAAAAAGGCTTGGAGATACAAAATTATAAAATTAAAACCATAAAACCATGGACATTTATTAGAAATCAATAGTTTTGCTATTTGACAACTGGAGACAGCAATTTGGTAAAACAGAACACTAAACTTAGACTCTAAAACACCTGATCTGCCACTTAACTAATACTATGTGGAACAAGTTACCTAACCTGCAAGAGGTTAAAAATATAACATCAGACCAAGCTCAGTGGCTCAAATCTAAAATCCTAGCACTTTGGGAAGCCAAGCCAGGAAGACTGCTTGACCCCAGGACCTTGAGACCAGCCTGGGCAACACGTCAAGACCCCATCTCTACTCCCCTCCCCCCAAATAATTACCTCGTTATGGTGGTGCATGCCTACAATCTCACCTATGGGAAGCTAAGGTAGGAGTCCCCAGCTGCACTCCAGTCTGGGCGACAAAGCAAGACAATGTCTAATAAACAAATAAATAAATAACACCAACTGAAATTTCTGAATCAAATTTAATTTCTTTTCTCATCAAAAGTTAAGACATATTTCCCGGGCCGGGGGTGGCAGCTCATGCCTGTAATCCGAGCACTTTGGAGGCCAAGGTGGGTGGATCACCTGAGGTTGGGAGTTTAAGACCAGCCTGACCAACATGGTGAAACCCCGTCTTTAAAA